CATATTCGACTTCGTACCTGAATTTTAGTAACGGATGGAGAGAGTAAAATTTAGACGAGTTAAGATCGTTAAGAGAATCTTGAAAGAGGGATAAGATGTCATGTAAGTAACGGCCGCAAAATTTAATTTTCTCTGTAAATTGAGGATTTGACAAGATTTTTTTTTCTATATTGTTCATGAAAATTGCAAAATCGACGTTTCCTTATACAAATTTTCCATTTTAAACATGTTTTAAGTTTCTTGTTGTGAAAAGAAGTCTACATATATTACAACAAAAAGGCAAAATGTAAGCCCGCCCACCCGCCCTATCTCTATTGTGATGATTTTTTTTATTCGCCGTGAAGCAAGAGGGCGGAGCTCAACTGCAAAATGCTTATGTTTGTACAAGAAATTAAAACCATGTTTTTCAGTATCGATTTGTTCAAATACTATGTGTATTAAGAAAAAAGTCAAAATATTAACCCCGCCCACCCACCCCATCTCAATTGTGATGATTTTTTTATGCTGAGAAACTTTAAACACGGTTGAAATGGTACATTTTTGTACGGAAATATAGATTTTGTAATTAGGCTCCGCCCCGAGGTCTGTCAACGAATGAAAACTTCATTACTATTTAGATCGGGGCAGATATGGGTGGGGCTTACTTTTTAGCTTCAATTTTTTCTTAATATACATGGTACTCTTTGAATACCACGGTAATCAAAAATATGTCTTACATGGCAATTTCTTATAGAGAAATAATAACAACTTTGGAATTAAATTTCCTCCTTTGGCTGTCGACGATTAAAAAAAATCATCACAATTGAGATAGGGCGGGTGGGCGGGGCTTATAATTTGCCATTTTCTTAATATACATGGTAGTCTTTTCAGAACAAACTTAAAAGACGTTTAAAATGGTAAATTCTTGTATACATAATATTTCCTTATACAAATTTTCCATTTTAAATGTTTTAAGTTAGATGTTATGAAAAGAAGTCTACACATATATTAAAACAAAAATACAAAATGGAAGCCCGCCCACCCACCCTGTCTCAATTGTGATCATTTTTTTATTCGCCGTGAACAAAGGGGGCGGAGCTTAACTGCAAAATACTTATTTGTTTACAAGAAATTATAAACATGTTTTTGACTAACGTGTTGTTCAAAGAATACCATGTATATTCAGAAATAAAAAGCCAAAATAAACCCCGCCCACCCACCCCATCTCAATTGTAATGATTTTTTTTATTCTTAGAAACTTAAACCCGTTTAAAATAGTAAATTTTTGTAAGGAAATATGGATTTTGCAATTAGGCTCCGCCTCTAGGTTTGCCAACGAATGAAAACTTCACTACTATTTGGATCAGGGCAGGTATGGGTGGGGCTTAATCTTCGGATTTATTTTTTTCTTAATCTTTCTTTGAATAACACGATATTCAAAAACATGTTTTTAATTTCTCGTATGGAAATAAGGATTTTGCAGTTAAATTTGCCCCTCTGGCTTTCGACGGTTGAAAAAAAATCATCACAATTGAGATAGGGTGGGTGGGCGGGGCTTATGTTTTGCCTATTCGTAATATACATAGTAGTCATTTCAGAATAAACTTAAAACACATTTAAAATGGTAAATTCTTGTAAACAAATATGGATATTGCAATTAAGCCCCGCCTCTCGATCTGACAACGAATGAAAAATTCATCACAATTGAGAATTGAGATAGGGGTGGGTATGGGTGTGGACTAATCTTTGGCTTTAATTTTTTCTTAATGTACATAGTATTCTTTGAACAAAACGATATTCAAAAACTTGTTTTTAATTTCTCGCAGGGAAATAAGGATTTTGCAGTTAAATTTGCTCCTTTGGCTCTCGACGATTAAGAAAAAATCGTTACAATTGTGATAGGGCGGGTGGGCGGGGCTTATGTTTTGCCTTTTACTTAATGCACGTAGTAGCCTTTTTAGAACAAACTTAAAACACATTTAAAATCGTAAATTCTTGTAAACAAATATGGATATTGCAATTAAGCCCCGCCTCTCGATCTGACAACGAATGAAAAATTCATCACAATTGAGAATTGAGATAGGGGTGGGTATGGGTGTGGACTAATCTTTGGCTTTAATTTTTTCTTAATATACATAGTATTCTTTGAACAAAACGATACTCAAAAACATGTTTTTAATTTCTAGTAGGGAAATAAGGATTTCGCAGTTAAGCTCCGCCCTTTTGGCTCACGGCGAATAAAAAAAACCATCACAATTGAGATAGGGTGGGTGGGCGGGGCTATATTTTGTTTTATTTCTTAATATGTTTTAAGTTCCATGTTGTGAAAAGAAGTCTACACATATTAAAACAAAAAGGCAAAATGTAAGTAAGTAAGCCCACCCACCCGCCCTATCTCAAGTGTAATGATTTTTTTTATTCACCGTGAACCAAGAGGGCGGAGCTTAACTGTAAAATACTTATTGCTCTACAAGAAATTGAAAAGATGTTTTGAGTATCGTGTTGTTGAAAGAATACTATGTATATTAAGAAAAAAAAGACAAAATTTAAGCCCCGCCCACCCGCCCTATCGCAATTCTGATGATTTTTTTATTTGTCGTAAGCTGAGGGGCACAGCTTAATTGTAAAATCCTTATATTTCTACGAGAAATTAGATGGTACTTTCTTGAACAGAAATAAAGATTTTGCAATTAAGCTTCGTCGTCTTGGCTCACGACGAATAAAAAAAATCATCACAATTGCGGTAGGGCGGGTGGGCGGGGCTTATATTTTGCCATTTTCTTAATACACATAGTAGTCTTTTCAGAACAAACTTAAAATACATTTATAATGGTAAATTCTTGTAAACAAACATGGATATTGCAATTAAGCCACGCCTCTCGATCTGACAACGAATGAAAAATTCACCACAATTGAGAATTGAGATAGGGGTGGGTATGGGTGTGGACTAATCTTTGGCTTTAATTTTTTCTTAATGTACATAGTATTCTTTGAAGAAAGCGATACTCAAAGACATGTTTTTAATTTTTCGTGGGGAAATAAGGATTTTGCAGTTAAGCTCCGCCCTGTTGGCTCACGACGAATAAAAAAAAATCATCACAATTGCGGTAGGGCGGGTGGGCGGGGCTTATGTTTTGCCTTTTTCTTAATATACATAGTAGCCTCTTCAGAACAAACTTAAAACACGTTTGAAATGGTAAATTCTTGTAAACAAATATGGATATTGCAATTAAACCCCGCCCGTCTCGATCTGACAACGAATGAAAAATTCATCACAATTGAGAATTGAGATAGGGGTGGGTGTGGACTAATCTTTGGCTTTAATTTTTTCTTAATGTACATAGTATTCTTTGAACAAAACGATACTCAAAAACATGTTTTTAATTTCTCGTAGAGAAATAAGGATTTTGCAATTAAGCTCCGCCCTCTTGGCTCACGATGAATAAAAAAATCATCACAATTGGGCGGGTATGGGTGAGGCCTAATCTTTGGTTGTATTTTTTTCTTAACATAGGTACATTGTATTTTTTGAACAACACGATACTCAACAACAAGTTTTGAATGTCTCATGAGAAATACGGATTTTGCAGTTAAGCTTCGCCCCCTTGGCTCACGACGAATAAAAAAAATCATTACAATAAAGATAGGGTGGGTGGGCGGGGCAACATTTTGTCTCGTTTCTTAATATGTGTAGACGTATTTCGACAACAAGAAACTTAAAACATGTCTAAAATGATAAATTTTTGCAGTAATCAATTTAATTCGCCATTTTTCTTCTACAACCCCTTTAAATACGGCAAAAGTTGCTTGCAGTGACAAAAATGATTGATTTATTATGTCAAATTGAAGGCAGTGCAAGCAACGCCAAAATATTATTTAGATACTCTAAGTAATACTGGGTGCATATTTTTGCTAAACCAGCATGTTGTTCATAAAAAGTAGGAGTATTATTAAAGCCAAAGAAATTCTGTTTCATAATTACTAACTCATATAACGTGATCAGGTTAAGAATGTGTGTAAGATTTAGCTAATTAATTTACCGAGATCAAAAGGGGGAACCGACGGGAAAAGATCAGAAACGTCAAAAGAAACAAGGAATGAACCTCGACTAGATATTTCAATTTTTCAACTAAGTCAAAATTAGTTTTGGTTTGTTGTTAAATGTTGGCGTGAGTTTTATCGGACCGGATTTATTTTCGGAACTACTAAAGGTTTTTGGTCATTCTTGTTAATAAGGTGCGTTAGAATGGTTTCGCAACTATGTAGCTCTGATGATGGTACCAGTACACACCGAAACATGTTGGCCCTCACTTCACAATAAAACTTTAACATCTGTGGCGCCGACCCAATTCTTCCCACCTTTTTGGTAGAGTACTTGTGTCTATTATTGAACGCACACTTCTTAGGCGGTAAAATAAAAATACAATCAATTTCCAGTTCAATACAATATCGTGGTTTTTTTTTTGCTTAATATATTAAAAGACCTGTTTCCAAATATTTCGATGGACGAAATTCTGGGTGTAACTGCTCAAAAAACTTGTCTGATTTAATAATTTTCGTCCGGAATTCCCGCACGTGAGTGTCCATTCTAGCGGCCCCCAAAGTCGCACTTGTTGCTACGCCCATGGTTCGATTTAAATGATAATAATAATAACTACGCAAAGGAATAAAATTTTGAAGAATTACCAAACTGGTGTGACCGGTAGAGATAGATATTCTAATGTAACTACGAGTATGTATTAACGATCTGGATTAGAAATGACGTTAATTTTCTCGGAAACCGTCCCCACCCGCTACGCGACGCAAATCGCCTAATCGTCGTCATCTCCTCGGAGCGCCTTTTTCCGTCAACTCCACCGAGTGACAGTGGTCCTCGCCGGCCCACCCGCGTCCGCTCGTCCGAATCGCATAAAAACACTCTCCACGTGGAAGTCAAGGCCAGCTCCGGCCCCGCGTCCCGGCCCGAAGGCCGCGCTCCTTCGCGGCCCGCGCCAGCGTAACCACTAATAGCAAATACGCACCTTCCATCCCGCCGAGCTGTTGCTGTCGCCCTTGTCCTTGAAGTAGGGCACGTTCTGCACCATCCACTCGTAGATCTGCGAGAGCGTCAGCCGCTTGTCCGGCGACGAGGTGATCGCCTGCGTTATCAGGTCCGCGTAGGACAGGTTGCCCCAGGCGTTGCGGCGGCTCGAGTTCTTCTTGGCGGGCACGACGGCGGGCGCGGGGGCGGCGGGCGTGCACTTGTTGCCGTCCTCGCCGGGCTCCACGTAGTTCTCGGGCCGCGGCAGCGGCCACGTGTTCGAGCGCGCGCGGGTCTGGGGCTCGAAGCCGTCGAGCTCGGCCAGGGGCTCCATGATGTTGAGGTTCATCTTGAAATCCATGGGGGCGGGAGGCACGAGCACTAGACACTGCTCTTCATACCCGGGACGGCGGTCAGCACTGGTTCGCGGGCGGGCGTTGCGGCGCAGTTCGCGTGTGGCGGCCTGGAGGAGAAGCACTCGCGAGTTCTGAACAGCACGAGGGTCGCACGGCGTGTGTCGGTCGAGCGGAGCGCTCGCAGCGGCGGCGGCGGCGAGGACATGCCCACTCGCGCATGCGCACGGGATGGCGCCACGCACGCACACTTCGAGATTGTGTAATTGTAGCACACGCACCGGATTCTGCACGTGACATCGTACCTGGGTAATTAGCGGAGTGCGGGTGGCGGGGGCGAGGGTGAGGGCCGACGGCGGCGGTGCGGTTTTGGGGGGGCGGGCGGCTGAGGGCCGACGTGAAGAACGGGACCGAAAAAGGTCGCGGGGTGATTTCCTGAGTTTCAACAATTATGTAATTAAGGTGTGGGAGATTTTGTCAAAAGGTCTTGGTCAATCTACTGTAAAATTTCTTAGAAAATCACCGCCTTTTTTTCATTTTACTTTGAACTCGAATATTTCGAAAACCAGCGGTCGTATCGACTTGGGATTTTTTTACCGATTAGAAGAACCAATCTTGAGTAAGCACGAATTTTTTCATAATCTTTGCTCGCCCAGTTTTCCCGAAATCCTGTTAAATATACCCTGTTCCCACCTCAGTTGGCCCAAAACAGAATTTCTTGAAGAAAAATACAAGTATTGCGTGAAATTAACACTTTTTATCGTGTGACAACATTTTTAAAAACTTTTAGTCATGAGAAATATCTACTAAAACACTAATAACAAGAACAAAATAACAACAAATAAAAAAATTGTAAAAAATACGCAATATCGACCCTTTTTGAGGTAAAAGATATTCTTATAGTTTACGAAATATCGTTGTACCCTATAAAATTTTATTGACAATAGTAAGAGATATTTACAACTTAAAGCTGTCGAGTGGCGGTAATCCGAGAGACGTTAGAAAGAAGGAAAATGAGCATTATTTTACGAGTACAACTACCTGGTAAAGGTTCACCGACAAATTCGGGTTGAACTGGTGTGAATCATAAATATTTCTTACCATTGTACTACTGTCCGCCTCGTTATTGTCAATAAAATTTTATGGGGTGGCACTCATAATTCGAGGATTTTAAAGGGCTCCTAGTCTTTTTCAAGCAATTTAAAAGGACCTCGAGTTCCTTGCCTTTTTTTAAATAATTTAAAAGATCCTTGGGGATCTCTTGTCTTCTACATACTTTTTTTTAATAATCCTGTCTTTTTTTAAATAATTTAAGAATCTTTGGATGTCCTAGTGTCTTTTTCTAATGAATTTAAAAAAATCTTGCGCGCCCTTAGCATCTTTTTTACGGAATTGAAAAGAATCTTGAGGGTCGCTACCGTTAACGTGTTCTTAACCTCTTTTTTTTTAAAGAATCTAAAGAATCTTGGAAGACTCTAAATATTCTTGAAGCCTCCAAGAATTTAAAAGATTTGGCTGGCCACTAATGTCTGTCTCTAAGAACTTTAAGGATTTTAACGTGCTCCTGGTGTCTTTCTAAGAAATTAAAATATTCTTACTGGCTCTTGGCGTCTTTTTATGAAAAAAATTGAAAGATTCTTGTAGACTCCTTTTTTGTTTTTTTTTTTTAATGATCTTGAGGCATCTAAGAGTTTAAAACAATTTTGGAAGTCCTTAATGTCTTTTTTTGAAAGAACCAAAAAGAGCCTACTGCTGTTTATTAAGTTAAGAATTTTAAAAGGCTCCTAGTGTTTATTTTAAGGAATAGGAAAAGTCTTGAGGTCCTTAAAATCCGTTTTCAAAGAATCTAAAAGAATCTTAGGAGACACTTACTTGTGCTTTATGAAAAGTTTTTTTTTTAATACTCTTGAGGCCTACAAGAATTTTGCGGGCTCTTAAGTAATTGAAGGATTTTGAAGGGCTCCTAGTGTCTTTTTCTTTAAGGAATTTAAAATGTTCTCTTTACGTCTTTTTTTAAGATATTTAAAAGTTTCTTGAGAACTCTTAGTCTTTTTTGCAGCTATTTAAAGAACTTTAAAGTCATTGTGCTTTCTTGAAAGAATTTAAAATATCCTTGGAGGTCCCCTGTCTTTTTTTATTTTTTAAATAATCTTGAGACCCTTGATAATTTAAAAGAATCTTGGAGGCCTTTGGTACCTTTTGTTTTTAAGTAATCTAAAACAATCCTGAGGCCCTCGACGTCTTTTTTAAGGAATTTTATCTTGAAAATCTTTGGTTTTTCGTTTTGCCTAGAATTTAAAGTATCTTGATGTTCTTAACCTCTTTTTTTCTAAAGAATCTAAAAAAATGTTGGGTTACCCTTGTGCTTTTTTTACTTTTTTTATATATTCTTGAACCCCCCCACTAATTTAAAAGAATCTTGCGGATCTCTAATATGTATCTGTTTTTTGTAGTGTCTTCTTTTTAAGAAATTTGAAGAATCTTGATGTACTTAAAAATCTCTTTTTTTTAGCGTTGAAAAGAATCTTAGGAGACACTTGTGCTTTTTATTTTTTTATATTCTTGAGGCCTCCAAGGATTTAAAAAAATTTAAAGAATTTTGCTCGCACACAGTTTTGTTTTTTAATCATTCAAGGATTTTGAAGGGTTCCTAGTCTTTTTCAAGCAATTTCAAAGGACCTCGACATCCTTGGGGGTCCCTTATCTTTTTTTTTTAATAATTTTGAGATCCCAAGAATTTAAATGAATTTGGGGGCCTTTGGTGTCTTTTTTCTAATAATTTAAGAATCTTGGGGGTGTCCTAGTATCTTTTTTTAAGGAATTTAAAAAAATCTTGGGCGCCCTTTGCATCTTTTTTAAGGAATTGAAAAGAATCTTGAGGATCACTACCGTTAACGTGTCTTTAAACTCGTTTTTTTTTTAAAGAATCTAAAGAATCTTCGAAGACCCTAAATATTCTTGAGGCCTCCAAGAAGTTAAAAGACTTGGCGGCCCTCTAATGTCTGTTTCTATAGAACGTTAAGGATTTTAACGTGCTCCTGGTGTCTTTCTAAGAAATTAAAAAAAATTCTTAGTGGCTCTTGGCGTTTTTTTTTTTTTAAATTGAAAGATTCTTGTACATTCCTTTTGTTTTCTTTTTTTAATAATTTTGAGACTTCTAAGAATTTAAAACAATTTTGGGAGTCTTTAGTGTCTTTTTTTTTAAATAATTTAAGAATCTTTGGGGATCTTAGTACCTTTTTTTAAGGAATTTAAAAAAATCTTGGGAGTTCTTGGTATTTCGAATTTCGTCAAATTAAAAGGATCTTGATGTTTTTGAAAGTTTTTTTTTTAATATTCTTAAGGCCCACAAGAATTTTGCGGGCTCTTAAATAATTCAAGGATTTTGAAGGGCTCCTAGCGTTTTTTTCTTTAAGAAATTTAAAACTTTCTTAGGGTCTCTTGAGGTCTTTTTTAAAGCTATATATTTAAAAGTTTCTTAAGAAATCTTAGTCTTTTTCTGAAGAAAGAAAAAGAACTTTAAAGTCCTTGTCCTTTCTTGAAAGAATTTAAAAAATCCTTGGAGGTCACCGGTCTTTTTTTTATTTTTTAAATAATCTTAAGACCCTTAATAATTTAAAAGAATCTTGGAGGCCTTTGGTATCTTTTTTTTTAAGTAATTTAAAACAATCCTGAGGCCTTCGACGTCTTTTTCAAGGAATTTTATCTTGAAGGTCTTTGGTTTTTCGTTTCTCCTAAAATTTAAAGCATCTTGATGTTCTTAACGTCTTTTCTTTTGAAAGATTCTAAAAAAATCTTACCTAGTGCTTTTTGTTTTTTATTTTATTTTATATATTCTTGAGGCCCCCACGCATTTAAAAGAATCTTGCGGATCTCTAATATGTATCTGTTTTTCGTAGTGTCTTCTTTTTAAGGAATTTAAAGGATCTTGATGTCCTTAAAATCTCTTGTTTTAAGAGTTGAAGAGAATCTTAGGAGACACTTGGTTTTTCGTTTTGCCTAGAATTTAAAGTATCTTGATGTTCTTATCTTCTTTTTTTCTAAAGAATCTAAAAAAATCTTGGGTTACCCTTGTGCTTTTTTTACTTTTTTTATATATTCTTGAAGCCCCCACTAATTTAAAAGAATCTTGAGGATCTCTAATATGTATCTGTTTTTTGTAGTGTCTTCTTTTTAAGGAATTTGAAGGATCTTGATGTCCTTAAAAATCCCTTTTTTTTAGCGTTGAAAAGAATCTTAGGAGACACTTGTGCTTTTAATTTTTTTATATTCTTGAGGCCTCCAAGGATTTAAAAAAATTTAAAGAATTTTGCTGGCACACAGTTTTGTTTTTTAAATAATTCAAGGATTTTGAAGGGCTCCTAGTCTTTTTCAAGCAATTTAAAAGGACCTCGACATCTTTGCGGGTCCCTTATCTTTTTTTTTTAATAATTTTGAGATCCCAAGAATTTAAATGAATTTGGGGGCCTTTTGTGTCTTTAATAAAAATATTCTTGAGCCTCCAAGAATTTAAAAGACTTGGCTGGCCCCTAATACATATCTGTAAAGATTTTAACGCGCTCCTGGTGTTTTTCTAAGAAATTAAAAGATTCTTAGTGGCCCTTGGCGTCTTTTTTGAAAAAAATTGAAAGATTCTTGTGGACTCCTTTTGTTTTTTTTGTTTTTTAAATTATCTTGAAGCTTCTAAGAATTTAAAACAATTTTGGGAGTCTTTAGTGTCTTTTTTTAAATAATTTAAGAATCTTTGGGGATCCTAGTACCTTTTTTTAAGGAATTTAAAAAAATCTTTGGAGTTCTTGGATTTTGAAGGGCTTTTAATGTCCTTTTCTTTGCGGAATTTAAAAGGTTCTTAGGGTCTCTTGACGTCTTTTTTTAAGATACATGTTTAAAAGTTTCTTGAGAACTCCTAGTCTTTTTTTTGAAGCTATTTAAAAGAACTTTAAAGTCCTTGTCCTTTATTGAAAGAATTTAAAAAATCCTTGGGGTCCCCTGTATTTTTTTATTTTTTAAATAATCTTGAAATCTTGAATAATAACTTAAAAGAATCTTGGAGGCCTTTGGTTTTTTTTAAGCAATTTAAAACAATCCTGACGCCCTCGACGTCTTTTTTAAGGAATTTTATCCTGAAGGTCTTTGGTTTTCCGTTTTGCCTAGAATCTTGATGTTCTTAACGGTTTTTTTTTAAAGAAAAAAAAATATCTTAGTGCTTTTTTTGCTTTTTATTTATTTTTTTATATT